TTTAACTTCTTTGTTTCCTATCTATATTTCTTTTATTTTTTCTCTTGTCTAATTTCTCTAGCCAATGTATACAGAACTCGACTGAATAAGAGTAGTGATAATGGACATCTTTGTCTTGTTCCTGATTTTAGAGAGAAAGCTTGCAGTTTTTGATGAAGCTTTCAGTTTAGTGTGATGTTGGCTGTTGGTTTGTCATAAATGGCTTTTCTCAGATTGAGATAAAACCATCTATTCCAATTTTCTGTATGATTTTTAACATAAATGGGTGTTGAACTTTGTCAAATGGGTTTTTTTCTCATCCATTGAGATGATCACAAGTTCTCTCATGATCACAAGGTTTCTGTCCCTGGTTCTGTTAATCCAGTGTATTACATTTATTGAATTGCATATGTTGATCCATCCCTGTTCTTGGTATGAATCCTACTTGGTCATGTTATACAATTTTGATGATTTGCTGCACTGTTTACTAGTATTTTTTTTGAGGATTTTTGCATCTGTGTTAATTAGGGCGATTAGTCTGTAATTCTCTTGTTTGGTTGCACCTTTCTTTGGGTTTGGTGTCAGGAGGATACTTGCTTCCAGGAATGACTGGAAGTATTATTTCACTTTCACTTTCATTAAAGTTTGACAAGTAATGGAATTAGATCTTTAAATTTCTTGTAGAATTCAGCAATAAATCCATCAGGACCTGGGCTTTCCTTTGCTTGTCAGTTTTTAACTACATTTACAATTTCATTGATTGATGCTGAATTATTTAGGAATTTTATAACTTCCTTATTCAGTGTTCGTAATTTGTATGTATCCAGGAATCTCTATTTCATCTGTGTTTTCTATATTATTATAGTACATATTCTCAAAGTATGTGTTGATGATCTTTTGGCTTTCCACAGATTTCACTGTGATTTCATCTTTTGCATTTCTAATTGCAGGAATTTGAGGCTACTTTGTTTTTTATAAGATTGGCTAAGGGATTGCCAGTTTTATTTAACCTTTCAAAGAAC